CTGCTTAATTGAAGTTACACATGTGGTCAAACATTTTCAATGCTAATTGAAGATAGTATATTGTTTCTCTTTCCTGTTCCAATTGTCAGTAAAATGTAACATGGTATAAAGGTTAAATGGGCCTAAACTGAGTTGGTGGATGGCGCTCAAAAATGTAGAACTCCAATACATGAATGTGAGGTATATTTGCATACTATTCCAGCAGGGAAGTCTTTGAACTGCAGACTGTCCCATTTTAGGTGATTATTGTAGTATGAGATTTTTAAGGATTGGCTAAACAAAAAACAAAGGCCAGAATCCTAGTCTATATTTACACAAAGTTTAGTGACATAAATCACAGTAGCAAATTGCCACTAGTTAATGAGTCATTACCTTTATTCCTTGTGTACCAGTTCTGTGACTTTGCAGATACTGAGGAATACAAGTGGTGGCTTGTTCATGAGTGGAAAATTGCCCCTGTTGTTTATATCACTGCACATATGCTGCCGTAAATAAGTCAGATGCATGCAATAGGCTTTTCTGCATTGCAGTGTTTAGTATTACAGTGGGGTCTTGACTTAAGAACGGCTTGAGTTAAGAACATTTTGACTTAAGAACCGCTCTCATAGGAAAATATTGACTTGACTTACATACTTAGATTTGAGTTAAGAACTGAAAAAACCCACGTGGGAGGCAGGGAAAGTGCAAAATTTGAACTTTCAGTTAACTGTTGGCCAGTGAAAAGGGTGCCTGACTGCTTCCTCACTCCTCCCAGCGTTTAGAGAGTGGATTGGGAGACAGTCTTCGAACTGCCTGGTCCTGGACTGCCTGTATTTTCCCTGCCTTCCCTGAACCTTTCTTGACCTAAGAAAAAAAGAAACAAAATATCCCCCTCTAGTGGTCGAAGGCAGAATAGCAGCTTCTCATTAGTTTCTATGGACGGAAAAGAGCAGATACGGATCAAATGGTTTTCAATGCATTCCTATGGGAAATGCAGATTTGACCTGAGAACTTTTTGACTTGAGAACCGCCTTCCAATACGGATTAAGTTCTCAAGTCAAGACCCCACTGTGTGCTACATTTCTCTGACATGCACAGGAAGCAGGTGAATTTGATTTGAACATGACAGTAGAAGAGACTGAACTTTATGAAAGTCATCATCAGCTTGCTTTGGGGAGGAGCTAGCAGTTGCCACATCTACAGTTGCGCTGGGAGTTTGAAACCAAATTGAGTGAACAGGATGACTAAACAGAGGCACTTTGAAAGCATGTTGGGGGTAGTTTGAGGGGAAAGGCAGATTTGTTGTTTCAGTGCCTTCATAAAACAAAGAGTCATGGTTATAGGAACACATGTCTGGGGAGCTGCAACAGTTGTGGCATGCTTTTCTCCCTGAATCTACACTTTCATCAAGACCAAGCTGATTGTTCTGCTGGAAGAGAAAGTTCAGAATTCTGAGCCCTGCCTCCCAGCACTTCAGCTTGTTCAGGAGAATAAGGATTTTTTTAGACAGAGCTAACTAGACTTTTCTGTTGGGGCATTCTTCCTCTATGGAGGAACAATTCAAAATGTGAGAGGCAAGAACTTGAAGAAATGTGGTATGGAGAAGGAAGGAAAACAGGAGCAATTTTGTGCCTTTGGAGCTACAAGATGATTTTGATGCCTTCTGCATGGACAGTGAATCAGAGCTGCTAAAACAAGGCCAGCCATCCCAGGAGCTGCCTTTGGAAAGTAATTCTAAGGTACTAGAAGAGGAGCAAGTGCCCAGTGTGGTGTAGTAGATAAAATGAAGAACTCTGGAGACCAGGGTTTGAATCCCAACTTGGTCATGGAAACTCACTGGGGGAGTAAAACCACTCTGTAAATACCTCACCTTGAAAGCCCTATTAGGGTCTCTGTAAGTCAGTTCCTTACATAACTAACTAACTAGTTGAGAGACAGCCATCAGTAGAGAGCATGGAAGTGAGTGTGGAAGATACTAGAAATGAAAGAAGACGTGTTGTAATTGGTGGCTTACTACCGAGGGAGGCAGATGTAGCCATTTGTGGACCTGGCACAGTATTTTTTGGAGTTGTGCTGTCTCCCTGGTGTAAAGATCTAGGATGTGACAGCGAGGTTGCTGAATGTCATCAAGCCCACCGTTTAAAACCCTTTTGTTTTGATCCATATCTGAACAAATGATACAAACAAACACAGCCTTCAGCACATTGCAGGTACTGGTAGGAAGGTGAAGAACCTTAGGGCACAGGTGGCTTTTTTCAACAGTATTTCCAGTCAAAGACTGAGAACCAGGAAGAGTAACAAAAATGTTGAAAATGAGCAGCTTACTATGTAGATGATGTCATCGGGAATGCTTTTCCTTCATGAGTTGTGGTCTGTAATTTCTTGAGAACAGCGGGCTACGATTGCACTGGACATGGTCTGGAAGGGACATATTTGCCAAGAGTCCTGCAAGGCTGATCAGAAGGGCTTTAAAATGAATTCTGTCGGGGGGGATATAATATTCTAGAAAACAGGAAAACAGTAGTTGCTGAGGATAGTACTGTCAGTGAAGCATCAGAAACTAGAATGATTGTACAAGAACCTCCCAATGTAGAGGAAGAGATGAGAAGGAAACCTCTTAGGAGAGTGGAATTACCCATGGCTTTAGATGTGTCCACACAAATGTGCAGAAAATGGGAAATGAAAAAAGATGAGCTTGAACTCTTAGTGCAAGGCAGCAAATAGATAAATGTCATGGAACTTGCTGGGATGAGATTCATGACTGGAATGTAAAGAATGGTTATAACATATTCCAAAGGAATAAACTAAACAAGAAGGAATGGAACTGCATATAAAGGGTTTGTTCAACTGTGAGGAGAACCATGCACCAGAGCAAACAAAGTATTTTGGCAGAAATCCAAGGAGAAAGAAATAGCAGTGATACCTTGGGAGGCATCTCCTATAGAGTCCTAACCATACCGAAGAGTTAGACATGTCCTCCTCAGAGGGCGACTAGATGATAAGTGCTATTAGATTTGGTCTGCTTATAAAACAGATGAAATTGAATCTTTTTTTTCTTGTCTTCATCACATACAAGGCTGAATTGTATTGGTTCAGCTTTTTTTTAAGATGATGTGGAAGCAACAAAGCTAAGTTTATAAACATTTGGTGGAAACACCCCCTAGTTAATTATTTGGGGAGGGGAAATCATCTCTACAGTATTAATAAAGTATTAATATAATTACCCATTTATTCTTTGAGGGTCTAAAAGTTCTGCTTGCTTATATAGATGAGCTGGTGTTTGTTTAAAAATGGTTCATAATCTATTGATTGTTGCTAGGATTTTGGTCATCAGAAACTGGTAGAGTAATTATAGGTAAATGCAAAATAGTAATAAAAAGTTTAAAAAGACAAAAATGGGGTAGATTTGGTCTGCTTATAAAACAGATGAATTTGAATCTTTTTTCCTTGTCTCCATGGCATACAAGGCTGAATTGCATTGGTTCAGCTTTAAAAAAAAAAAAAAAAGATGATGTGGAAGCAACAAAGCTAAGTTTATAAACATTTGGTGGAAACACCCCCTAGTTAATTATTTGGGGAGGGGAAATCATCTCTACAGTATTAATAAAGTATTAATATAATTACCCATTTATTCTTTGAGGGTCTAAAAGTTCTGCTTGCTTATATAGATGAGCTGGTGTTTGTTTAAAAATGGTTCATAATCTATTGATTGTTGCTAGGATTTTGGTCATCAGAAACTGGTAGAGTAATTATAGGTAAATGCAAAATAGTAATAAAAAGTTTAAAAAGCCAAAAATGGGGTGGCACTTTAAAGACTAACTTTTGTATTTTTTAATGGAAGTTTTCATGTCTGATGAAGTGGACTTGCCCAAAAAAGCTCAGTTTAAAGAATACAAAAGTTAGTCTTTAAGGTGCCACCGCATTTTTGTGTTTTTAAATTTTTTATTCCTATTTTGCATTTACCTCAAATGCTTACATAGACTAAAACGGCTACCCCTTTTACATGGCTGATAGAGTAATGCTATCACTCTGAAAATATAGTTATTAGAGATGGGGACGAACCACCATTACAAACCACCAAAATGGTGGTTCGTCCTGGTTTGTGGTCCATCAAAATTGATGAATCACGAACCATGAATCTCCCCATGAACCAACGAATCCAGGCTGCCCTTTGCAAAGATGGTGGCTGCAGCTTCCCTGCCCTAAAAGAAGCTGCAGCCACCATCTTTGCAAAGGGTAGCCAGTGTCCCTTATGGCAAGCCATGGCTACGGAGGCCACCGCAGCAGTTGGCGATGGATGGTAGCAGTGGCAGGCAACAATGGATGCTGGTGGCACTGGATGACGATGGTGCCAGATGATGGCAGTGGCTAAAGTAGGGAGGGGCAGGGTACAGGCTGTGGGGCTGGGTGGTTGCCTATGGTCCACCAATCAGCTGATAGGCGGGCCCATAGGCAGAGTGGGAAAGCCATAGGCAGAGGGGGAAGGCTAGCCTTCCCTCTCTTCCTGCGGTGGACAGATAAAAATGGGGCAATATTTATCCCTTCATATTCGTCGGGGTCTCTGGAACTCACAAATACAAAGGGATGAATATTTAACAAATTAGCGATATTTAATGAATATAGCAATTTGGTTTTTTATTCATCCCCATGTCTAGAAGGCAAAGAGTTGCTTTCTTATTAATGTCTGCTTTCATTCTATCAACCTCATGGTTGCCCACTGTCATCTTGGACATTAACAAATATGAACTTTTTTCTTGTTATAACTTCATGAAAATGTTCTTCGGGTTTTCTTACTAAAAGCTTCTATTTTTGTTTAATTTGAATTCTTGAGACCCCTCTCAGCTTCTTAACGGATTAAAGAAACTAATAGAAGTGTGCAGGTTTGTGGTTTTTTGTGACTGCAACTCCCAGAATTCCCCATATGGCTGTACTTCTGTGGAATTCTGGGATATGTACTCTAAAACACACATATCTGCACACTTAGAGGAACTAATTTTGGCTTTTCTCCTTCATCTTTACAGATTCTAGTGCGAAGTAACAATCTTGTTGACAAGATCAATGTTCTGTCAGGAAAAATTGAGGAAATCTCCCTGCCTGAGAGCGTAGATGTTATCGTTTCTGAACCCATGGGCTACATGCTTTTCAACGAAAGAATGCTAGAAAGTTACCTCCATTCTAAGAAATGGCTGAAGTCAAATGGTGAGCTTGATGTTTGCTAGATGTTGATTAGAGAAATGAGGGCCCAGAAAAATAGTATTTAACAAATAAAAGAAAAACTGCTTTTTAGTCACAGCCTCGTCAGTTGTCAGAAATCCTGTTATACTTTCCATCTACCTTATGTTACATGTCATTGGCAGCTTCTTGCTCTGTACCTTACAATAACTCTACTATTGTGGGAACACCAGTTTCAGTTGATTTAGGAATTTTGCAGGATTGAGTCTTGTTCATACTTGGAAGACAGACCATCAGGGATTACCAGGTGCTGTGTTGGCAAAAGCTCTGTAATGCAGAGCACAATCCATATTCAATCAATAGCATCTGCACTTAAGGCTAGGAAAGAATCCTGCCTTTTGAGAACCCCACCCATCCATGACCTTGGGGGGTCCCCACCCCCCTGTGCACAGACACCCCCCCAAACCCATCCACGGTTCAGAAAAGGTTGGGGACCACTGCTGTAGAGAACACGGAGGCAAATATTAGTTTTTAAATGGTGACATTGTACAACGTGACTTGAGGTGGCAGAGTTCCCTGTGGTATAATTAAGACCCAGCAAAATATGTAGCTTCCTACCAGGTCTTTCTGAGTACTCAGGAAACTGGTAATAAAGTGTGGGTTAGCAAACTAAAAACTAATCATTTTTAGCCTAAGTACTCAAATATGTCATTTTTAGGCCTTCCATTGTGGGATGTGTTGTTACTTTTAAAATATTTATTACTCCAAGGTGCAGTAATTAATTTCTGTGCTTAAAAAAAATCAAATGTAGACTGCCTATCTTTGCCACAGTCATTGTTCAAGGTAAATTGATCTCAACTGTGCCTCCCCCCCCTGCAAAATTTAGTTTCTATTTACGAAACATTTCCCCTGGAGAATTCTATCCTGAACCAATCTACTTGGAATGAAAATTGAATTCAGTGACCTCTTCAGAGTGAAGAATAGTAGGATTTCAGTCTGTAGCTGACACCTTCTTTCTGCTTGATTTCTATTTTCCCATCTTGAATGATATTGTATTTGTTGATATATTAGATTGTTTTTAGTCTTTTTTATTGTTAGCCGCCCAGAGTAGACGTTGTCTAAATGGGCGAAATATAAATTTAATTAATTAATAAAGAAAATAAATAGTGGGCCTTGTTTTAGGACAGTGCTTCTTCCCCCACCCTAATCTCAAACTGTGCTCCAAAGAAATAGGAGAGACGGCCACAAGCTGATATTAGTTACAGATACACCACTTCCGATAAATGTCATGCATCTTCTTCATATTCTAGTTAATTCCTGACTTGCTAGATACACTGGTTAGAACTGATTTATTTAAAATGGGTCAATCAATAGTGATATTCATGGTTGTTGGATTATATCCTTATTTAATTGACATACGGGTGATTGGATTATATGTTTGATCTTGTCGCTAATTTAAGTATATAATGCACATACTTTTGTTGGTTTCACATTGTATGTGAATTGGATATAAGGTTTGTGGAATTCTTTTGACAGGTTTTGTTAAAGTCATAGTAATATAGCCAACTGTCACCTCAATGGTTACCTTTGGTGATTATCTGAAACAATTGAGTGGTCATATATTTACTGTCATATGTTGTTTCAGTTGTCAAGAACCCCCTGCATGTATGGTGAGAGCTGGATTAGAATCTTGCCACTGATTTAAGGAAATTGTTTAAATAACCAAACCCAAATGAGTCTAAAACATTAAGTCTTTATCAGCTCACAGCATCTTTGAGTTCCTATTATCAGTACCCTATTGTTGCTGAAAACCTTCTGAAGAGTGATCAGGAATGCAAGCATAGATTCTCCCCTACAGAACTGTACAGGGTTAACTGTTTGAGGTGGAGAGTGGATGACACTTTCTAGGTGTTTCCAACAAATGTTTATGTAGGGTCTACACAGGTTTGAACTCTGCTACTGTATATTATCTTTTGTTTACTAGGAATGATGTTTCCAACATTTAGTGACATTCATTTGGCTCCTTTTTCCGATGAACAGCTCTACATGGAACACTACTCCAGAGCCAATTTTTGGTAATGATTATTTCACTTTTTTTCACACAAAAAATAAGAAAAGAAAGAAAGAAAGAAAGAAAAATGTCTTTTGCTTCACAACTTAACCGAGGTTTCCAAATGAAATTGCTTCTTGAGACTACAATGTAGGGGTGAATTGTACAGTATCTGTCAAAAAGATTGAAAAAACTTTTTGTTCTAACCATGTTTCCCCCTTTAACACAATAACACAATGGCCACACACTCCATTTGAATACCATACAGTAGGACTCTGGATCCATGAGGGAAAGATTCCAAGCTCCTCCCCACCCCCCAAGGATCCCTGAAATGTAGATAGTAGCAAACCCATTAGAGAGTGAGAGGAGGGGGAAAGGGGGTAAGAGTGCAAACAGTGGCAACTGCAGAAACCACAGATACCATCTCTGGATATGGAGGTCCTACTGTATACACAGAACTCACACATGTTCCATTTGTAAGCCATATATACAAGACCCTCACACAGTCTTAAAGCTGACCCACTAAAAGTGACACTCCAATAGTGCTGATTATCTTCTATATGGCATGCATTTCCCCCAAAGCACACCATTCCATATGTTTACAGGTCTTATCTAATGACTAATTTTTAAACTTAGAAGCAACTGAAATGCTCATATATCTCATAATACTTCAACAGCTGAAGTTAAGAAATGCTCATTTCAGTCAACTGAACCTAGAACTCCTAAAATGAACATTTAAGGAGGTTTGAGCAGCCTTTCTTCACTTCTGGTGGTTTTCTTTTGCTATGTTCATCCAGGTTAGGTACTAGGGATGGGATTTTTTTTTTTTATTTCTTAGACTACAAATCCTATAATCCCACATTCTGGGAGTTCTACCTGACTTATACACACTTTACAGACATCTAAATGTGGCTCATGTGGGGGAAAAGGCCTAACCTGGGAGGTTTTTTGGGTTTAACTAGGCCTACATCTGCCCAGCTTTCTATTCCTAGCGTTGGCACAGGAACAGTAAGTTTCGATGATGTTAGGCCTCGCTAAGCCTCAAAGCCTTCCAGTATAGGCCTTTTCTCCCCACATTCAGGTGTCTGTAAAGTGTGTGCAAGTCCAACAGTACTCCCAGAATGGAAAATTATAGGATATGTAATTTCAAAAAATCCAAAAATCTCATTGCTACTGTGTACTAAATTTTCACAACACATTTCTCCCTTGCAAGTCTGCATATTCTATGCTTTAATTTGACATCTTAGTTACATTACTATAGCTGTATGAAAGTAAAGCCTTTAACAAGCATCAGATCAATAGTGATAGAATCAAAAACCGTACACAAAGATCCTCGTCCAAAATGTACACCTTATTGATTGATTTAGTTCATGGGAGTTCAGATGCAGTCAAGCAAGTATGAAAAAGGAATTCAGGAATACAAATTGATCAAAATGCTTTTATTTGGAAAAGGACTCCACTGTAGTCTATCTCAGCTAAAATTAGATACGACATCTTAATGATGCTGAACAGTACTTACCTGCTTTACGGTTGAGCTACATAAACAGGATTACTAAAACAATTCGTAAACTGTGGAATAGTGGGTACATATTTGTCACTTGTGGTGGCATCATGACTCAGTAAACAAATTTGGGGGAAAGGAGTTCACGTAGCTAACAAAATCAGTAATCAAAAAAATGATCATTTGCAGTTACGGGCTGTCAGCAATTTATGACAGAATAACACGTTGTTACCTCATAAGGGTGCATATTTTTCTGGCCTGCCATGTGCACAGCTGGAAAACTAGCTGAAAAAAATGATCAACACACTTCTCTATTACAGTGTAAAAATTAATTAATTACCATTAATTAATGTAACATTAAATTAGATTAGTATTAACGGAGAAACATACGAGTTACAGGTGACACAGATAGACAGTGATGTGGCATGATCACACATGATAAAATGTATGGTACTTGGTATCTATTCATTAATTGTGCACATGATAACATCTATACATTTTATCAGTGGAGATACATGAAACCATGCCTAAAATTGACCTGGTCATTATTAATAAGAACTGTAACAACGTAAACATTTTTGGAGGGGATGCTTCTAATGCTTCTAGCAAAAGTAAGTCCCAAACTGGACATTATTTCACTTCTATTTATTATTATTACATGAACATAAACAGGATTTGGATGAAGAAAAGCATATGGAAGACAATACAGTGGTGCCTCGCATAACGAGCGCACCATTTAACGATGAATCCGCATAGCGATGCGGATTTAGCGATCGCTAATGTGATCGCATACCGATGGTCTAAACGGATTTAGCGATCGCTAATGCGATCGCATACCAATGGTCTAAATGGCCAAAATTTGCTTTGCAAAATTTGCTTTGCAATTTTCGCACAGCGATTCTTTTAAATCAGCTGTTTGGCGGTTCCAAAATGGCCGCCAGACACCCCAAATGGCCGAGGGCGTGAAAATGGCAGCCGGATGGGGAAACATCGCATAACGGTGAGTTTGGGCCCCATTGGAATGCATTAAACGAAGTTTAATGCGTTCCAATGGGTTTTTTTGCTCCGTATAGTGATGTTTCCCCATAGCGAAGGTTAATCCGGAACGGATTACCCTCACTATGCGGGGCACCACTGTATCTGCAAACCCAACAGCAACATCTAGATTCTAGATGAAGCCTTTCAAGGGGCAAGCACAAGGTGGCTTTGAAGCAGATGGATGCACATTTATTTATGTATTTATTTATGTATTTATGTATTTATGTATTTATGTATTTATTTATTTAACTTATACGCCACCCACACTACCCAAAGGTCTCTGGACGGCTTGACATTTAGTCCATTCATGTCCGACTCTAGGGGGTGGTGCTCATCCCTGTTTCCAAGCCATAGAGCCAGCGTTTGTCCGAAGACCGTTTCCGTGGTCACATGGCCAGCGTGACTAGACATGGAACACTGTTAAAAACAATTAAAATACAATTAAATTGCCACATTCAACCCACCTGTCCACATCAGCCTATATTGTCACCCTCTAGCTTAGATGATTGTTCTTATTTGCATGCTGCATCCAAGACTAGCTCAGGTCTATACTGCAAGGAATTATTATTGGGCTGTCACAGGCTGTGCAATTTGCACAGGAGGAATCATCTAGTGAGCTTTAAAGTGTACTTGCCTTTTCTAGCCCCTGGCTTGCTTACATGCCTCACACTTCTATTTTAGTGAATAAGCAGCATAGCAAGAGCACAGGGAACTGTCATTTGGATGCCTCTAAATGGAGAGGTCAGTTTGAATAAGTATAGAATATAAGGCACCAGATAGGATTTGGTAGTTAAGACACAGAAGTGTTCAAAGAAGAAATGTTCAATTATTGTCCTCATGTGCAATTTAAAATAATGAGGCTCAGCAATTAAGAGACCATTGTCACTTTTTCAGGAAGAACTCTTCTGAAGGCAAATTAGCCAGATTCTCCAAAAGAAACTGAAGACAAATGTGTATCATCTGCAAGAAATCATAATTCCAATTTCTTAAAGCAGGTTTAATTCATTTCAGAATAGCTTTTACAGACACTTTTGGTTCCATCTATAAAATTTGTATTTTCCTACTGCAATTGAAAATGCAAAAAATAGCAAAGGATGAATCTTTTCATTCCAATGTTTTCAATTTTTCATTTTCCATCTTAAATCCATTCCATCCCTTTTCTCATCTGAACTCCCATGAACTAAATCAATCAATAAGGTGTACATTTTGGACGAGGATCTTTGTGTACGGTTTTTGATTCTATCACTATTGATCTGATGCTTGTTAAAGGCTTTACTTTCATACAGCTATAGTAATGTAACTAAGATGTCAAATTAAAGCATAGAATATGCAGACTTGCAAGGGAGAAATGTGTTGTGAAAATTTAGTACACAGTAGCAATGAGATTTTTGGATTTTTTGAAATTACATATCCTATAATTTTCCATTCTGGGAGTACTGTTGGACTTGCACACACTTTACAGACACCTGAATGTGGGGAGAAAAGGCCTATACTGGAAGGCTTTGAGGCTTAGCGAGGCCTAACATCATCGAAACTTACTGTTCCTGTGCCAACGCTAGGAATAGAAAGCTGGGCAGATGTAGGCCTAGTTAAACCCAAAAAACCTCCCAGGTTAGGCCTTTTCCCCCACATGAGCCACATTTAGATGTCTGTAAAGTGTGTATAAGTCAGGTAGAACTCCCAGAATGTGGGATTATAGGATTTGTAGTCTAAGAAATAAAAAAAAAAAATCCCATCCCTAGTACCTAACCTGGATGAACATAGCAAAAGAAAACCACCAGAAGTGAAGAAAGGCTGCTCAAACCTCCTTAAATGTTCATTTTAGGAGTTCTAGGTTCAGTTGACTGAAATGAGCATTTCTTAACTTCAGCTGTTGAAGTATTATGAGATATATGAGCATTTCAGTTGCTTCTAAGTTTAAAAATTAGTCATTAGATAAGACCTGTAAACATATGGAATGGTGTGCTTTGGGGGAAATGCATGCCATATAGAAGATAATCAGCACTATTGGAGTGTCACTTTTAGTGGGTCAGCTTTAAGACTGTGTGAGGGTCTTGTATATATGGCTTACAAATGGAACATGTGTGAGTTCTGTGTATATAGTAGGACCTCCATATCCACAGAGATGGTATCTGTGGTTTCTGCAGTTGCCATTGTTTGCACTCTTACCCCCTTTCCCCCTCCTCTCACTCTCTAATGGGTGTGCTACTATCTACATTTCAGGGATCCTTGGGGGGTGGGGAGGAGCTTGGAATCTTTCCCTCGTGGATCCAGAGTCCTACTGTATGGTATTCAAATGGAGTGTGTGGCCATTGTGTTATTGTGTGTGAGTAGTTTCAATGGGAGCATGTATGTCTATAGATAAGAAAGATGTGGGAGAAAGTGAAGGGACACAGGGCAGGTATCAAATTAAACCAACAAATAAACACTAACAATTTGTTAGTGGGGTGCATGTGGCCGTCCCACTACCAAATTGGCTTTCACTGGCTTCTCTTGCCTGGTGGGTTCATAAATTCTTACCCCAACCCGCCATCCAAATAATAAGGCATCTCCTCTCCTGCATCAATAAGACCATACATCTTTCCAGATTCTCTTATATTATATCATGTCCTTTTTATTCCTACATAGACATATTCTGTAGTGAACCGTCAGAAGGGTTTTATTAGCCACTCTGGAAGTTGTTACTCTTCAATCACTAAAAACCATTAAAATCAACGAGATGTTTTAATCCCGATAAAAATCGACAAAGAATGCAGTTGACAACAACACAGCATAGGAAGTCAAAACAAGATGTGTACATGGTGTATCTGTACATAGAATCACTCCCCCCAAAACACAGTGTAAACAAGACACATGAGCAGTATGCACCTTGGTTGTTGTGGGTTTTTCAGGCTCTTTGGCCATGTTCTGAAGATTGTTCTTCCTAAAGTTTCACCAGTCTCTGTGGCCGGCATCTTCAGAAGACAGCACTCTGTCCTATGAAGATGCTGGCCACAGAGACTGGTGAAACGTTAGGAAGAACAACCTTCAGAACACAGCCAAACAGCCCGAAAAACCCACAACCATTAGATCCTGGCCGTGAAAGCCTTCGCGAATACATAGTATGCACCTTGTTTAAAGAGAAAGCAGCTCCTTCCCCCCATCTCCTTATCATGGTGAATTCAACATCAGCGGTGCTGAGGGAGGGGAGGGAGGGGGGTTGATGCCTTGGGTTCAGAGGGCGCTGGGGGCCAATAGTGCTTCCTGAGATACTAAAGACTATGTGAACAGTAATAAAGATTCCGTGTACTCGCTAAGGAAGTTACTATCCTGAGGCGGATAAAATAAGCCTGTTGAGTCAATTGGTTGAAATTGTCCCTAGTAAGTACACACATTGTTACTAATTTTGCCACATCTGTTAAAATACGCATCTGTGATTAGCATATCTAAGGTTTCATGAAGAAAAAAATTACTCATGAGATTGCTGTGAATAGGTGTTTAAAGGGATACTGTCCCATCCCCAAATTTCTGTTACACGTGTGGTACCTTTTATTTTCTTCCTGATTACTTTCTGAGATAAATGGTAGAAGTGTTCAGACTGTGTATTTTGCACATGAAGATTCTCATGCCAATGTTTCAGAAACATCTGTTTTTTCTGTAGTTCTTGCAAAAAAGAAGCAAAGTGATTCAGTTCCTGATTTTTTTAAAATTTAGATTCTGCCCTCAAATTCTTGGCACAACAGCCTGGCAATAAACTGCTCAAACTGCAAATATAAACATGCCTTTAAAGGGACACTGTGAGCAACTGATTTATGACTTAAGACATTGGCTTTAACTTAAATTATGCAGTCAAGTTTATGTTTGAATACTAAACTACTTTTTAAAAGAAAGAAAGAAAAGAATGTAAACTATATTATAGGTGTCTATTTCTTTCTGCCTTCTCCTTTAAAAGTCCTGCCTACTTATTTGGTTCATCTGTCTGTGAATATGTTTCCTATTAAGTTGAATCATAGAGCAGCACTGTACTGTACAAAGTTATTTTCCTTAAAAGAAGTGTTGAAGCTCACTCCCCTAGAAGCCATACACATCTCTCAGAGCACAGTAAGAGATGTGTATGTATCGATTTTCAATACTATAATGCAGGGGTGACCAAAGGGGGTGTTGGTCATGTGGCCACCCCACTAACAAAGATACATGATTTTGCCAGTTATAAAATTTCTGGAGGTTTTCAGGAATTTCCTTGAGTCCCAGTGCTGCCTTTCAACCTTGACTTCTAGTTGGTAAGCTTCCCGATTAGAGATGGGGTTATTCGTATTTGTATATGAATATCCCCGCACAGGTGGCGTTAATGAGGGCCCAGCCCCATGGGTCTGGACAGTCCACTCACTGATCCGCCACGGATGTAGATGGCGGATCTATGAATGGCTCTGCAGCGCATGGTCCGCTTCCCACTCCTGGCAGGAGGCGGGAAGACAAGCCTCACTGCAAGGTCGAAGAGTGGCAAGCGGAACGCGCACTGCAGAGCCATTTGTAGAAGAGCGCCATCTGCAGCAGATCAATAAGTGGACCGTCCGGCCCCATGGGGATGGACACTCGGTAACGCCACCTGTGCAGGGATATTCGTATACAAATAACCCATCTCTATTCCTGATGCTTCTTTAAATCAGAGCTTCTTTCAGAACATTGAGCTTACATCCTTTTGACACTTTTGCCAAAATGTGTGTACTAATTGAAAGTTTGTTTTGTGTGAAACTGCTGAATGCACACAACATGTTTAATTTGCTCTACGTTCTCAGCCCTGGTGATAGTAGAGCCCCCAAAACCTGAAGCCTTGATTTGTAGGTATTTGATACCAAGGTTACTTGTGTTGAGAGTTCTGGGAACTTGTGTAAGTTCCTGTAAAATTCACAGTGGAAGGCCAGCTACTTCAGGGTAGAATTTGCTAAGGAAGTTCCTTTGTTTATCCACCCTCACCAAATTCTAGCACTTTTGAAAAACAACACTCAGGAGGTGATCTTTAAGTGTAAAAAGGTTTTCTTTATTAAACTCACATGAATAGGCACTCAGTAGGTTTCAGGTTGATACAAAAGGAAAAATAGCAAAAGCAAATTTTTCTTTCCTCAGCCCATGTGGCTAGGAGGATCTCTGGGGTTCAGAGATCCTGCCTGGAGGTCTAGCATCTTGCAAGGTGAAAAAGGATCTGTGTTACAAAATGGACTTTCTCAAATCGCATGGTGAGAAGGGGAGTGACAAGGGGCGGAGCTTATTTAGCTCAGGGGAAAAAATCCCTCTGATTGGTTAGCACGTAAACAAACAGGCAAAACAAGTTAGTCTGTGATGCAGACCCCTACCTCCCACATCTTGAAATTTGCATCTGGATTGCTGATTAGCCAACAACTTGAAGGTCAATATGTTTGGTTTAGTTTTATGTTTCCTTCTAGAACGACTGTTTAAACAAAAAGAAAAATGGAAACAAAAAAACAATCACCTTCCAGTACATTAAAGAAAAAAGATTCAAGCCATTTACTTTACAATTACTTGCATTTAATGACCCAACCAATTGCTGACAAACAGTATGCTTATATGGTGAGATTAGAGTGGATGGTAAAATACTATATTTGCAGTTCAAAAAAAAAGGCATTTGTCAGGCTTCATGGTTTGCTTGAAAATTTTGCATGGCTCTTTGGGTGTTATTTGCTGCATAGAGATTTCTTTGTACATTTCTTTTTTTCTTTTACAACTGCATTATTCTTTCTAGGTACCAGCAGTGTTTTTATGGAGTCAATCTGTCTAGTCTCCGCAATGCAGCTGTGGATGAATATTTCAGGCAGCCAATTGTAGTAAGTAATTTTAATTTCTCTTTCATTGTAGTCAGGACACTGAAACATCTGAATTGTATTTCAGCTTTTTTCTCCAAAATCACCAGTAGTAAAATCCACCCATATGAACGGAGCCCTTGCAAGCCATATATTACCAGTTTTAGATCTGCTTTACAAGAAGTTCTTGGTTTCTATTTGAGGTTAGATTCTATTATTCTTCCAAGTCTCCCATGCTTTTTAACAAAAAACAAGCTGGAGCAAGGTACTGCTGAGCATGTGCTGTGTGGCAGCTTAACCTTTTTCCTTCAACCATTTTCTAACTCGAAAATTGGTGTTGTGCAGTTCTTTTTCACTTGCAAAGGGAATAATACAGCATTTTTTTATTTCTTATTCTGACTCCACTGTGCTGAAATGTCAGTTCATCTAAGGGGATGTACTTAAAAATGAAAGGAGGAAAAGAACAATTAAAACAAAATAATCATAAAATAATTAAGCAAGCCTGTCCTTGCATTCTTTTTCTGTTGATGCAACAAATCTAATAGAGAAGTTGGAGCTTGAAAACCATGGAGAAGAAGTACAGAACGTCTTACAAGTTGAAATTTGAGCTTGTCTTACCAACACAGTCATATAATCACAATCATTGAGAGTGCTCTTCATTTGACCATCTGAAAGTATCTATCAATTAGGAATATTAGGAGTTATGTACCACTGATGTGTGCTGATCAGAACTTAAACAGAGTCTGATCAACAATTTAAAAATGTATTTCTAAAATGAATGCAAAATACATGCATAGGATGAGACAGCTTGTGTGTAGCAGGGTTTGCATATATACAGTGGTGCCTCGCTTAGTGACGTTAATCCGTTCCAGGAAAAATGTTGCTAAGCGATTTTTAAAAGCCCATAGAAACGCATTAAAACGTGTTTAATGCGTTCCTATGAGCTTAAAAACTGACCTTATGTGAAGATCCTCTATAGGGGCGGCCATTTTCGGTGCCTCTAAAGCGAGGCAAAACAGCGGGTGGCCATTTTGGAACTGTCAATCAATTGTGCAAAAAGGGACGCTTTGCCATGATCGCTTCCCCGCGATCATCGCAAAGCGATTTTTCCCCATAGCCACCATTGCTAAGCGATTGCTCTGTTGACCGATGAAATCGCTTGATCATCGCAAAGCGATTTTTCCCCATTTCTGCAGAACATTAGACCAGCATTTCTTTAGAATATTAGACCAGCATTTCTTTAGAATAGGAATAGCATCAGCAATAGAATATAATTGAGCAAGATTTCACCCTCTTAAGACAAAACTCAGTTAAACTCTTAAGAATTTGATCAGTGCAATATTGTTACTGCCTCTCTTGTGGATCCCTCATTGTTGAGATTTCTTCAAAATGATTGCCGCGATCATGGTTATAGATGTCAGTAATCCCTATTATAATGCTTATAACAATAACATGAGTCGGAAGGTGTAATAGACTATGGAGAGGACCAAGAAGATATACCCTCTTGAGGTGTCGAGTGGGGAATGTAGTTTTTAGAAGCCTGAATTGCTGTCTGATAACCCAGATCTTTTCAAATGTTTTATCTACAGGACACATTTGACATTAGAATTTTAATGGCCCGGACAGTGAAGTACACTGTCAACTTTATAGAGGCTGAAGAAGAAGATTTACACAGGTTAAGTGTCCAGAAAGACTGTTTTCGTATCACTGTACTAGACTTCCATCTTAAACTATTGTTTATTGCCGTTTGTTTCAATTTAAAACCAAGCTACCAGCTGCACAGTGTGTGAGATTTTTAAATTTTATTTTTAGCATTAATGATGTGTTGCCAGCATTTTGCACAGTGTGGCATATGAATATTGTAAATAAATAAATAATATAGGCCAGTATCTTCTTATAGTCTGGACAGAATATTATGCTCTGCCTGTGCTGCTCTATTCAAGGTCTAGCATCCCATTGTACAAACCTGAGATAACCCTGTTCAAATGAAGAAGGATTATACTTTCAAGCAGGTCCTGTATACTTCTGCTTGTGCAGTGGACTATCACATAAATAGTATGAACAATCAAGATACTAACCATTGTAATTAAGCGTGCGAATAGATTTCATTACAAGAGATAATACTCTGTCTGGAAGCCCAACATGTTTTCAGGTTATATAGTATTTCCTATCGAGGATTACAGTATAATGAAAATGGCTGAACAGAAACAAGACAAGAGTTATTAATACAAATTATTTTCTAGGCAGATGGGTCCAGAACACCCCATTTGTTGGTTTGTTAGCTGGTTCATTGCTTTATGTTAAATATATCGGCCAAAATAGTGCTGCTTAATTATACATGTAGAAGACAAATGGTGTAACTTTTATTTTCTTCCAGCTAATGGATCCCTGCTATGATTCTTGAGCTTGCCCCCCAAAATCCTAGCAGCAACATGTTAATTGTCAGCTAGACGTTACTGAATGTTACGCCATTTGCCTTCTAGATGCGTAACTAAGCAACACGATTTCAGCGGTACAATGCTTACTTTGCCCATGAACCCAAATCAGTTTACACACAAAATAAATCAGCGCAAACATCACAAGAAGTACACATGAAATATCAGGGGAAAATTCTATTTTATTATATTGATAATTACGTTTATTGCATTTTAGTTTATCAGTTTTTAAATGATCGTATATTCAGCCTTTGGTCTTAGTTCTGGGAGAAAGACAGTCAGTCACTCAATCAGTCCCTAGCCAGTGACAGAAAAAAGCCTAAGGAAAATATATATATATTTTTGGCATTAGCTTTTGTTGGCTGAAATTCTACAAAAACATATGGGGTGAGTATCCCTTTTGTCTTGGCTGGGATAATTCACAACTTATAGTGCTAGTGCACTTTCCTGGATGAAAGTCCATTTAAACTGATTTCTAGTAAGCACACAAAAGTTAGGATGACATTTTCTGAATCAGTGTGGGCATCTTGAGAGATGGGGTACTACTGGTGTCCACACCTAACGCAGCTGGTACTTTTCCAGGAAATACAGTACCTGCCTTGTTTACAAGCTGATTTAACATTTATTCATCCCTCTGTTCGAGATAAACTGTTATATTATGTTGTTGTTTCAGCTGAGGATTTCAAGCATCACCTCATGGTGACTCTTTTGAAAAAATTGTTTTCATTCTGCAGAGTGGAAATCCCCTTTGTTTTCCAGATGATGCAGTCTGGTCTAATCCATGGCTTGGCATTTTGGTTTGATGTGGCATTTGTTGGCTCACTGTACGTATTTTTCCGGCTTCATTCATGCATTATCCCTTGACATAGCAACTTTGGAGGTGGGGGAAGTATTTTCCTTAGGCCTATTTAAGATCTGAGTAGAAGACTTAGTCACTTACTTGCATAGTATTTGTCAAGTGGTGGAATGCTACAGACTTGCCTTTGAAGCTTTTGTTTATCCCCTAATGACTAGTCACAAATGAAAGCAAGCTAATTTGCAAGATGGGGGAGGTGAGAAAAATGGTACTTGTACAAATGGTTGTGTTTTAACAGTTAAGGAAACTGGGTGGAACTAGATGGAGATTTGTCCCATTTTTTGATCTATTCTGGGGTGGGCTGGTTCCCTCATTTTCCTGGTGACCTTGCATGTAAGTGCAGTGTCAGCCAGTCTGTCCTGACAGCGTTCCTACCTGCACTTTTTTGGCTTCTTGTCAGGGGCTACTTTTAGGTGAGGATAGAAACACTCCGTTTTGGCAGACAGCTTAGCCATTTAATGATATTGTGAAAGTAAACATTTCATCTGCTCCTCCATAGAGAGGAAGAGGAAGCAAAGGGTTTTATTTTCAAATCCTAGTTAGGGCAGCGCTAATGCAGCATAACTTTTAGGGGGAAAAATAAAAAAAATTACTCCTAGAATAAGGAGACAGGAGGGGGATTTTTTGTTTTGTTTTCTTTCCCTTTAAAAGGAGGTGGGCCAAATGGGATCGCTTAAGGTGTGTATGCTTTGTGGATGTAAGGATTGTACCAAATGGCATAGTGCTCTTCTATGGAACCTTAAACAACCATATTTAGCCCAATCCAGCCCACTCCAATTTAGCCATCTTGCCAAGCCTTCTGTTAGTTAAAGTCCTTCTTCTGCTTAAAATATGGAGGAATAAGCTCTATTCATACATTTTTATTTTTGGAGTGATGACATCTGCACATACTGACTGGACCACATATAATTTTGGGGTCCTATTTGAGCTTCCAGGGGAGTGTAGCTCTCTGTCAGCATAATAATGTGGGATCTCCCTGTTCTGCAAGTGTTGCTTTTATGCCAGTGGAAAGCCTCTTTAGGAACACCAGCTAATAAAAGCAGGTCTTGGATAAGTCCTTCCCCAACTTTTATAAACATCAGACTGCTCACATTGCAGTTGCTGCACGAGAGGATTCTGGCCTGATGCTTTATCAGAGACTACAGCTTGATGAAGAAAACAATCTTTTGGGTCAAATATATGCATTCCACCACTTCCTCTTAAGATTAAGATTGTTCCCATCATCTAGTGACATAAACAAAACAACAATATGTCAGAGGAGCAACAGATTTTCTATAAAGATGCTGATTCCAGGGGCACCCTGTCCAGAACAGGTTAGGTTCCCCATAGATGAAATGGCAAGTCATGGTTACTAATTTTCAGTACTGAATTTGTGTTTAGTTCCATAAGTGTTTCTCTTCATGAAGCAGAAAGTGAGAGAGTGAGAGGTTAGTAATGATGTAGCCAGTGACCCTGTGAACATGAATGCTTTTAGCCTAGAGGAGTTTCACTTAAATTCAGTGGTGTGTTCCCAATTCATATGTCCTCTTTAAATGATTGCTTTATTTGGGAGTTCTCCTTCTTTTAATATGTATGGGAAATAGTTTGCCATTGCTGTATGCTTCCTTGGGTATGATACTTTCATTTTTAAAAGTATTGACATTGGCTTGGATCTGTAATTAGGACCATAATTTTGCTAGTGCAAGGGCCACTATACTAAAAGATACACATTTTCAACATTAGCACAAAGATGATATCCAGTGGAGTTTTTCTTCACACAGGCAATTGCAGGGTGGAGATCAAGTGCTTCTGATTTTGCTCATGTACCACTTGTACAAATTGCTTAATAAATTGCAACTATCCTCGCAGGCGTTTTAATTTCAGTAGTGTCATGCTGTGTTCACACCCAGGAGCAGTATTCTGTTGGGAATTTCTGTGTGCACAACTAATGCTGTGCAACTGGTTAAACTATTTAATGGGTTCTGTTGCAAAATTAGTTGTGGAACTGGCCGCACAAGCTACACTTCACCAGATAGCACAACCACTTGTGCAAGATGAGGTGCAAACGGGGAAATCCTATTGGCTCAAGCGTCTAACATTTTGTTCCATGAGTTGTGCTCATGGAAGGGTGTCCCTAGTGAGAGAAATATTCCTTCCATGAATAGACACTCCTTGGGTTCTCAGAGCAAAAAGGTTAGGGCCAGAATTCTGCCAGGAATTTCTGTGTGCACAGCTAATTTGATGTTTCTCTGCATCTTTTTGAGAATTGTTTGAGAGCTGTCCTAAACTTTTGGTTCCACTTTCTTTTATTTATAGCATATTTATTTAATTTCTGCTTTTAAAGGTTGACAGTTTGGCTATCAACTGCTCCAACAGAACCCCTGACTCACTGGTATCAAGTCCGTTGCCTTCTTCAGACTCCTCTCTTTGCCAAGGAAGGGGAAACACTTTCAGGAAAAGTCCTGTTTGTAGCAAATAAACGGTAGGTCAGCAAGGAAGATACTGCTAATGCTTTGCTAAAGATTATTCTTTACTTCATCGGATTATTCGGAATTAATAAGTGGGAGGAATGTATGTAAGGTTTATCTTATGAAACATTTGCAAATGGAGGGAAATGAACAGGCAGTATAGATTATGGTTTGCATCTCAGCCCACAGCGTAGAAAATCCAGCCCGTTTTATGTTTATCTGCCCCAAGAAGATTTTTTTTTAATAGCCAGTTTTAACATTTGCACCAAGTTAAATTTCCTTCAAAAATATTTTGCTGCTATTTAAATATTTTTATGTACTTAACCACTTAATTTATCACAGCAATATTGATTGTCCTTGTGGGGAATGTAGTGGGCAATATCAGCTTTTCCTTTTTCTTGAAGCTCTTGAATTTAGTGATTTTACAGAGGTAATAAACATTTATTGGAGCAGTTGACATATTTACTTCATTTACTCCAAAAATACTTATTTGATTTTGAGCCTTCTTTGTGTGTGTGTGTAAGAAAAAAAATGCATGCATTCTATGCAAGACTTGGTGACCACATTTTTTTTTAGCTGATAAGAAATCCTCAGTCTTTAAATTTTGTTGTTGGTATTTAGAGGAGAATGGTATTCTTAAGAACCACCTTCTTAGTCCTGCTTATATGTATTCTCTCTTAAGAGAGAATTATTCTCTTAAAAGAGAATACTGGGTGTGATACTGAGCAGTGTTCTGCATCATTAAAGGATTTCTAAAATGCATCAGCCCATTCTTGGAAATTCTAATAACTAAGCCCTTGATTAAAACATTTTGAAGGTTTAAGTAACAGGACCTTCAAAGATAGATTCAAACATGAACTGAACAAGAATTTAGCAGGAGTTTCATCTCTATCTCCTGTGATCTGAATAGGGACAAAAGCTTTTTATCACAGAACCTATGTCAGCTCATGGGTACAAAGATAGCTGTTTTCTTAATGGCCCTTGGTAAGGCAGTTACAGCTGCTTCTACATTCTGCATTTGAATTCCTTCTGATGTCATTGCTTACAATGCTGTACAGTACCTACAACCATGTGTGTAAGTATTCCAAAGAATCCAGATCAAGTGCAGAGCCTGAGCCAAAGATTCAGATGACCTGCTCCGGTATATCTCAATACCTAGCTGGAAGGAGCAAATGAGAATCTATAACTGGAATCCAGCTAATATCAAAGGTCACCAGAACAGTTCAAGGCAAAAAGGCCAAAATAACAAGAAGCAACACAACAAAGCAGCTTATTTTGTCATCTTCTTTTATAAAGAGCTCCTGGGTGGCAGTAATCAAGAAGAATAGGATATTGCTGGGTTTTACTGACATGAAAACTGCAGACATGTGCATTGTTGTTGTTGCTATATTGTTTTAATCCATGCTCCTTAATATAACTGAAAATTTGAACGCTTACAATTAAGGGTTAGATCAAATGTTCATTTGTTCTGCAGTTTGGTCTGCATTGGGGATGGGCTGACTTGCTCCTTTTTCCAATGACCACATGACATATGTCCCATTGTGAACCAGCTTGCCCCTGATCGATGCCTACCCATATGTTTTTAGATCCCTGTCAGGGACTACAGATTCCTCTGTAACTAGAATCACTCCATTTTGATTTAGTTCCAATGTGTGTGATCATTGAGATAGAATCAAAACGGCTGCCTGGCTGTCCTTTTGCTGAAGCCACTTAGCGATCCTGAACAGTAGAAAGCGGAGAGGCCGTTTGCACTTCTTTATAATTGTTGCTAATATATAAGTGATGCTTTGAAAGGCCATTTTAAAAAATCAAAGTATTGATGATGCATTGTGTTGGTTCGCTGACTTTTACCAGCTGTGATTGATTGATTTAAATTTAAATTTATACCCCGCTCATTACTAGTGAGCATACCAGTCCTCCGGGCAGCTTACAAAATATTATAAAACCTACAGCTAAAATTTTTAAAACCATATAAAACATATTAAAAGAAAACAAAGAAAACCCTACCCCCGCCCCCATCACCAGGCTGGGACACAGGATGGCAGACAACAGGCCAGCATAATTTTACATGCTGGCAGCCAGTGCAAGTAAGCCAGGACAGGTGAAATATGGTTAAATGTAGGTGTATCAGTGACCAGCCTGGCCACTGCACTTTGCACTTGCTGCAGCTTCCAAACCACCATCAAGGGCAGCCCCATATAGAGAGCATTGCAATAGTCAATCCTCAAGATTATCAACGCATGAACCAGTGTTATCAGGGATCTCCTGTTGAGAATGGGACAAAGGTGTGTGATCTGCCTCAGATGAAAAAAGGCAGATTTGACCGCAGCCAGGATCTGTTTCTCCATCAAGAGGGTTGGGTCCAGAAGCACACCCAGATTTTGCACCTGATCCTTCAGGGGGAGTGTGACCCCATCAGGTTCAGGTAACAGGCCCACTACCGGATCAGGATGCCCTTCGAACAACAGGATCTCTGTCTTGTCAGGATTCAATTTCAGCCTATTTGCCCTCATCCAGTTCATAACCACAGCCAGGCAATGTTCTAGGGTCTGTACAGCTTCCCCTGCTGAAGAGGAAAAGTAGAGATAGAGCTGCGTATCATCAGCTTACTGATGACAGTGAACTCCAAATAACCTCTCCCAGCGGCCTCATGTAGATGTTAAACAGCAAGGGGGAGATGACTGACCCCCATGGAACACCATATTGTAGTGTCCACAGGGACAAAACAACTTCCCTCAAGCTGAAAACTCTGACATCCACCGTCGAGGAAGGAATGGAACCAGCATAATGCTAGACCTCCAGTCCCCAATCTCGATAACTGATCCAGAAGGATACTGTGGTCAGCAATATCAAAGGCAGCTGAGAGGTCTAGGTGGACCAACAGGGTCACATTCCCTCGGTCAGCCTCCCATAATAGGTCATCTAGCAGGGTGAACAGAAGTGTCTCAGCCCCATGACGCAGCCTGAACCCCGACTGAAATGGATCCAGACTATTGGTATTCTCCAAGAACGCTTGCAGCTGGTCAGCCGCCAACCTCTTAATCAGTTTCCCCATGAACGGCATGTTAGCAACCGGATGAAAGTTGTTTAAATCGTCGGTTGCCAAATTAACTTTTTTCAGACTGGGCTGGACCATTGTCTCCTTCAAGATAGGGGGCAAATATCCCTCCTGTAAGGAGGAGTTCACAATCTGTGTGACCCATTCAACTGTCACTGCCCTGGCCAATTTTAAGAGCCAGGAGGGGCATGGATCTAATTGAGAGATGGTGGCCTTAAAGCATGCAAATGCCTTGTTCATGTCATCAAGGCAACACAGGCTGAAACTGATCCAATAAAACAGGACTGATCTAATTGAGAGATGGTGGCCTTAAAGCGTGCAAGTGCCTTGTTCATGTCATCAAGGCAACACTGGCTGAAACTGATCCAATAAAACCGGACTAGACAGTGTGTTGGACATCTCAGCATGACTTATTGTACTAATGGAGTCAAAGTGCCTATGGATGGCCTCAGTCTTAGTGCAGAAGTGGGCTGCAAACTGCTCACAAGTAGTGATATCTGGCCGAGGCCCCAGATGTCATCTGGCTCCAGTGAGGTTGCGGAACACTCTAAAGAGTTCTGCTTGATGGTTAGCTGCCTGACTGATATGCCTGATGTTACAAGCCTTCTTAGCGGCCTGTATGGCATTACAGTATTTGCCAGATATCTTTTTTTACCACAGCCTGTGGGAGCCTTTCTCCAAATGCTCTCCATCCTTCTCCTAACTTGCTTCATGGCTCGCTGCTCCTCTGAAAACCAGGAGCAGAGGCAAGCCCTGACACAGAGGTGTTTAGGTGCAATGGAGTCAACTGCCCCGGTTGCGGCTGAATACCATTCTGCAACCTGGGCTTTGACACCCACGCCAATCAGCTCATCCCAAAACCCACCCAACACATCTTGGAAACCAATTGGATCCAATAGCCTCTGTGGGTCAACCATTCTAATCAGCCCTTTCTCCCAATGAGGGACTGTTGGCATTGCCAGACCAAATTTCAGCAGGTGATGATCTGACCATGACAGGGCCCATGAAGAAAGCCTGGTCCCCCTCAGATCATACTGTCCCTGACCAGCCAAAAATGCAAGGTCGAGTCCATGTTCCCCCACGTGTATTGGACCACTCAGTTGTTGGGACAGCCCTACAGATGTCCATGAAGTCCAAGCCAAATCAGTAGACGATGCCTCTGCATGAATGTTGAAGTCCCCAAAGAGCACCAGCCTCAAGGATCATAACAGTGCCACAGAGACTGTCAGCCTTGCCAGGGACAGCGGTGCATCGTGGGGAAAGCAGTACACCAACATCACCCCTATTCTGTCCCTATGGTCCACAGCTAGATGGAGGCACTTAAAACCAGGGCAAGGTTAAATTCTGTTAACCTTGATGGAATGTTTGAATATAATGGCAACACCCCCTCCCTGGCCTTCTGGTCTGCCTGATGTTGTATTAAATAGCCTGGGGGGCAGATCTGAGGGAGATCTCTGTTACACATTTTTGAAAATTAAAGACTCCCACTCCCCAGTCCAGTGTTCCCCCATGGCTTCCCCACAACTAAATGGATTCCATGGGAGTTTCAGGACGTTTTATGTTTTAACCTGAGATACGTGATGCATCTGTGATATACATGTGTAGGAGTGGAAAGAAGTATTAATTGCAGCAGTTCACAAAATAGTAGCATAGCACAGATGTCCAACAAGGGGAGTGCTTCAGAATTGGCTACACTGCACTCCATAATCCTGATGTCAGGAATGTGACAGACCAGAAGACCTTCTTCTACAAATATACACTGGAAACCCACCATTCCAAAATTCAGTTTAATCCCTAGTGAATATCTCTTTGTGTAGAACAGTTCCGATTCTTTTGTGCCTAGTTGATTGACCACAGTTGGTACCTCCAGCTGTAGTTGTGTGATAAACAGAAGAATAGCTAGTTTAAATGTACTCATGCTGAAATTGTTGTAGACAAAATTGTAAGTTGTTGTGATATTTCTTCTATATGCTGCAGGCAGAGTTATGATATCCAGATTGTGGCTGCAGTGGATGAGACGGGTTTTAAATCAGGCAATATCCTTGATTTAAAGAATCCATTTTTTAGGTAAGAAATGCCGTTGGCTCTTTTGAATGATTTATTACTAAGTTGTAAAATTTGACCAGAAAAAAATCTTTATTTCTGTATTAATAAATAATAGTTCTATGCAAATTTGCATTGCTGGATTATCAGTCCCAGAATTCTCCAGACAGCTTTCCTACTGCTGGATAATAAACAGAATCATGGAAATTTTGAAGAATAAAAAAAACTGTTAGCATTTACCCTCCACATAACTTTCATGGTTGTTCCTAGTAAACAGCACATATTGCTTGATCTTGCCAATTTGCTGTTTTGATTGTGGGAATCAGTGCTAAAGCTAGAGCTGTGTTGATTTTTTGCACCACAACATTACTGAGGCAAGAAATATGCTTTAAAGATGACCAAAATGATTCCCTCAAACTCTTTCCCTTTTTGAATATGTACACTTTTTCTCATCTCCTTTTAGACCCAAACTACTCGCTACTCTAGATGCTGTTTTCCCAGACATTTTAGCTCCTCTTCCTTCTTTCCCCATGATAATAATCATAATGATGATGAAAGCTAGACAGGCTGGCTCATCTGCAAGACACAGTGGGGAATCAGACTCCCAACCTCTGACTCCCCAGTGAGATCCCTAACTCACTGATCTTTTGTTGTTCTTGTTTAGCTGTTAAGTCATGTCCAACTCTTCTGACCCCATGGACAAGAGCACACCAGGCCCTCCTATCTTCCACTGCCTCCTGGAGTTTTGTCAAATTCATGTTGGTAGCGTCGATGACACTGTCCAAACATCTCATCCTCTGTCACCCCCTTCTCCTCTTGCCTTCACACTTCCACAGCATTAGGGTCTTTTCCAAGGAGTCTTCTCTTCTCATGAGATGGCCAAAGTATTGGAGCCTCAGCTTCAGGATCTGTCCTTCCAGTGAGCACTCAGGGTTGATTTCCTTCAGAATGGATAGGTTTGTTCTCCTTGCAGTCCAGGGGACTCTCAAGAGTCTTCTCCAGCACCACAATTCAAAAACATCAATTCTTCGGCGGTCAGTCTTCTTTATGGTCCAGCTCTCATTTCCATACATCACTACTGCAAAAACCATAGCTTTGACTATGCAGACCTGTGTCGGCAAGGTGATGTCTCTGCTTTTTAAGATGCTGTCTAGGTTTGTCATCGCTTTCCTCCCAAGAAGCAGGCGTCATTAATTTCGTGTCTGCTGTCACCGTCCACAGTGATCATGGAGCCCAAGAAAGTAAAATCTGTCACTGCTTCCATATCTTTCCCTTCTATTTGCCAGGAGGTGATGGGACCAATGGCTGTGATCTTAGTTTTTTTGATGCTGAGCTTCAGACCATTTTTTGCACTCTCCTCTTTCACCCTCATTAAAAGGTTATTTAATTCCTCCTCACTCTCTGCCATCAGAGTGGTATCATCTGCATATCTGAAGTTGTTGATATTTCTTCCGGCAATCTTAATTCCAGTCTGGGATTCATCCAGTCCTGCCTTTCGCATGATGTATTCTGCATATAAATTAAATATTCCCAATTTTGAACCTATCAGTTGTTCTATATCCAATTCTAACTGTTGCTTCCTATCCCACATATAGATTTCTCAGGAGATAGATAAGGTGGTGAGGCACTTCCATTTCTTTAAGAACTTGCCATAGTTTGCTGTGGTCCACACAGTCAAAGGCTTTTGTATAGTCAATGAAGCAGAAGTAGATGTATACATATTTTTCAGTTATCCAGTCCTTAGGCTTTAGAGTTTGCATACAATCTGCATATTTAGCAATTTCTCAGAAGAAAACATATACATTTGTTGTGATAGAATTACCTTTTTCTCTCTTCCTACACAAACACACACACACACTTTCTCATTCAAGCACACACTCTCTGCAAAGGATGTTTTAGCACTTCAGAGAAAACAGTACATGCATACACTGTAATTCAATTTCAAGATGCATATTGAACAAAATATGTTAAATAGGAAAAATAAACAAAGTCTTAGAAACTTAGCATTATGTACTGCAATGTTCTGTACTGATGGTCTGCATTGCGCATCTTTTCCTTGACATATGCAAAAAAATTCTATACCTCTTACTGTTTAGTTGATTCTGCTGAATACTAAGGACAAAGCAGAAAATAGAGAGGTCAGAAATTTGCGTCATCATTCCTTGCACCAGTGTCACTATCAAAATCTATGCAGACCAGAATGGTGGCAAGTTAGTGTATTAAATTAAAACATAATTTGCAGCTCCTGTTGAAATAGAAGCTACCCTGTTTCCCCGAAAATAAGACCTAACCTGAAAATAAGCCCTAGTATGATTTTTCAGGATGATCGTAATATAAGCCCTACCTCCAAAATAAGCCCCAGTTAAGTGAAACGCCACCCTCCATCATTGTACAGCAACCAGAAGATGACATGACTGTATTTGAGTAAATGTAGATTGTTGTACATGAAAAAAATTAAATATCACCTGAAAATAAGTCCTAATGTGTGTTTTGGAGCAAAAATGAATACAAGACCCTGTATTTTCAGGGAAACATGGTATACGTTTCAGAATACAAACATGTGGTACATTATGTTTGCCTGTAACTTGTAATGGGTGACAAAAGGGAAGTTTGATGTTGCACTGGAATTATATTGTAAGACCTTAAAAACTGCAGCTGAGAAAGGGGACACATACAGACTCACTAGTATATGACAATAACTAACTCTGCAGGGTGTAGGTCAACATTATCCTTTGATATAGCCATAGCTAAAGCTTGCATGTTCCATATCACTAGTAGACAATTTGATACATCTGGCCATAAACAATACTAGTACATCAGCAGGTGCTAGAGTTGATGAAATGGATTCCCCCATCATTTTTTCTTCAACTGAAACCAATTCAAAAAAAGGTAGTAGTTTTTCTTTAATTTAGGGATAAGTCATACCTCTTCTGTTTCTGTTGCAGACTCCTGTACAAATCTTACAACTTTAAAAAGTCTGTGTATGTTGTAAAATTTATATTATTTAAATATGTTTTTAAAGGTATGCTTAGATTATATGCTGTACATCTGCTGGAGGAACTGCCAGGATTTTCACATCTACCAAGTAGCCCTTGATGAGTTACAGAGGAGAATACTGGACATGCTGCTGCTTCTGTGAAATTGATTTGTATGTAATGAAAGGTATTGCAAATTATATACAAAATTATTTGTGTATTTTTCAAACCAACATCTCAACCCTAAAACAAGTACCGTATTTTTCGCTCCATAAGACACACCTTTCCATAAGACGCACCAATTTTTAGGAGAAGAAAACAGAAAAATATAATCTGTTTTCTTCGCTCCATAAGACGCACAGACTTTCCACCCCCGTTTTGTGGGGGGAAAGTGTGTCTTATGGTGCGAAAAATACGGTATGTCCTATGGTACTGAATGGCATTTTCATGACTTACATATTTACTTGGAAATCTCTTCCACGGACATAAATGAAAATGAGTGTTTTTTTTCTGACTGATGTCAGAGCAGATTCCATAATCTGATGGCCAACAGACTGCTTTTAATCTATCTTCGTAGCACTGGTGCTCCTTGTATTTTTTGTTCTCATTCCCCACCCCAACAAGGAATATTCATAGCAAAATCTACCTCATGTTTCCATACATATAGAGGGTGTATGGGGATAATGTGAACAAAATAGAAAGCTCATCTTTAACTCTGTTTCAATATTTGAAAGATATATTCATATATATCTGGAGCTGGTCAACCCTTACTGTCCTACAGCAGTAGGGTATGAGGTGCATTACCTGGCTGTTCTATAATACTTTAGTTGTTGGAAAAAGCAATCTCGGATTGTTCTGAGTCACTCAACATGTGAACTTCCACTGATTCATAAAATAAACTCTACCAAGAAGGGCAGCAGCAGAATTACATTTCTGTATATTTCAAACAATGTGTAGATAACAATTGCAACTGTACATTTAATCTTTCCAATAAAATTTAAATATAAATTATAATGAGGTGGTGCCTGTAATTGCTTTTTTCCATGGGAGTTGTTTCTGACAGCATAATCTTGTTCCCACAATGTGGCTTCCCTTTTGCCTGTGTTTCCAGTTTTGTCATTTTAATGGCTCATGCGGAAAGGATCAGCATCATCTCTTATCAGCCAACATAAGCCTTTGGCCCTGAAATATTTAGCCTGGAAGCTCTGTTTTATATGTGGAGTCACATAAAAGGATTCCACCGAGGATTATGTACAGCTGCACTCAGCTGTAAGTCCACAAAGTGAATTGGCTGAGAAAGACTCAGCACAACAGTCTTTCACTGCGCTTCTCAGTGCTGCTTGATACAGCCTACTTTCTAGCACTGGACTGTTGTGAAAAAGCTGTGCTGAACATGCTGTGTAAACAGCTGGGAAATGAATGGATTTGCATTTCTCGAGTTATCCAGTAACAACCACATAAGAAGTGGATGAAAAAAATACGAACTGTTCTATAATGGCAGATTGGGGACTAAGAGGAGATTGTTACTTATTGCTCCCACAGTAAGCCACAATTATCTGTCACGTCACAGCCATGGTCGTGTCACTTTAATAGCAGTTTGGATAGGTACACCATTCAGGGACTCTGTGCAGCATATGCTCTCTTTTTTCTAATAGCATGTCTTGGTTTTGGAAAAGTTGAATTTTGACAGTCCTGCTAAACAACTACTGAAATGAGTGCAGCATTTAAGATGGCTGCTTGCATCTTCCCTGCTGTTCAGCTTTTCTAGGAGTGAACAATTTGACACTCTCCTAAAGTTATTGGACTGCAACTCCTAGTATCACTTAACACTGACTGTGCTCGCTAGGCCTTAGCTCATAGAAAGACAGGAGATCTGAGCCATTAAAACAGATTATTGGCATTGCCATGACTGACAGTGCTGGAGGGCACCAGGGACTAAATCATATGGGCAGCAGATGTGGAACAGCAGCTCTCTTGATCCTGCACTGTTTGCTTGGCTGGTTAGATCTGATGGAAGTTGCAGCCCAAGAACAGCAGAAGGGCCAGCTGTTGCCCATCCTGGATTAGAATCAGAATTACCTTCCCTACCTACCTGAAAACTAGCCTAGATGGTTTCCCAGCCTTCTAGACATGTTTTTGGGGAACATAGGGATCTGTTTTGGGAGGGGGGATGGGGCCCCTCCAGTTCCACTGGATCCTGTTTTTTCACCAGCAGAGTACCACTACAGTGGACCCTCAACTTACAGACGGCTCCACTTACAGACTTTTCGAGTTACAGACTTCTCTGGCCGTAAAATGTAGGTTCGACTTGCAGCCGGAGAATCGACCTATAGACCAGAAAAAAACCAAAATGGAACAAAAACGGCCGGTTACGGATTAATCAGGTTTCAATGCATTGTAGGTCAATGGAGCCTTAACCTACAGACTTTTCAACCTGCAGCCACCGTTCCAATATGGAACTTGCTACATTGTACTTGCTACAGCATTATGCATGATCCATAGTGGAACGGCATCATAGCTGATAAAACGGAATGTGGAGAAAAGGCAATAGGGAAACTATGTGCACAATCCTTCAATTTTCATGCAGAAGCCTTCCTAACATGCAGTTACCCCTTATTGGATCAAAAGTACTAGTTTTACATTATGGCCTGGGGCTGTCCTTTTCTAATTTAAAATTTTCTGGGCTAGTAAATAAAAGGGCATAGCACATGCTGTAGGAAGGAAGCATACAAGCATGGACAATAGTACAGTTTAACAAATAAGTGTAGTATAAACCCGTAATACTGTGCTACTGGAGGAAGGAGAGCAATGAGGGAGCCATCTTAGCCTTCTTTGGCAATGAGCAAAGCCTGGGAGCAGCACAGAGAAAACCTTATTTTATATCCTCACCAAACAAACCTCTGAAAGAAGGGCCTTTCCTGCAGATCAGAAACCCCAGGCAGGACTCTGTGGGAAAATACAATTTTAGCCTAGATCCAAGCTGCATGAGGCTTTATAGATTGTAACCAGCTCTTTGAATTATACCAGAAATGAAAAAATAGACAGCAAAGCTGTTCCAGGAATATGTTTCTGTAACTAGCCCCAATCAGCTTTTTGGCTACAACATTGTGGGTCAGCTTGAAATCTTCAAAGGCAGCCCAGTGGAGATTGTGTTACAGTAATCAAGGTTGGATGTAACTAAGGTATGTTTCACCCTAGTCAAACAGCTCCAGAAATGGGCACGCGCGCTAACAACCAGGGCACTGAGCAGGCGTTCCCCAACACCACCTTCAGTGCTTAAGTCACCAGGAAGAACCAGAGCCACTGTCAAAACTGGTCCAGAAGGATGCTATAGTGAGTGGTATAAAAAAACTTACAAGAGGTCCCAAAGAACTAACAAGGACATACTCTGCCCTGACATAGATTATCCACCACCAAGACAATGTGTTGTTGAGGTGTGTGTTCATGTTGTGTGGTATAAATGTGCAGGAACATTCAGGTGTGTGTTTATAGCAGACTTTGCTTTAACATATGCTTTCTTTTTTGTTCATTTGATCACAAATGAATGTAAGATGTAAGAGGAGTTTTGCGGGGTTTGGCCAAAGAAGGAGCTGCTTAGCTCATAGATAGTCATTCAATTTTCTAGCTGTAGCCAGCCAGAGGATTTTGACAAACTCACAAGCCAATAGTCTCCTATTCCATTTGCCATTGCCTAGTAATCAAAGTTCATAGAAAAGCTTCTTTTAATTGGGTAAAGAGCAGATTTTGTTTCAATTTATTTTTGACAGAAATTCAACCGCATTATTGGTAAGAATTTGCAAATTCATATTTGGCATGGAAAGAGGGGGAAAAAGAGGAATGCAAATGAAACTGAGTTAGTTCACTGTCCAAGTCTTGGGATTTGAGTGCTTAATATTTAAAAGTCTGGGTCTGAATCTCTGTGTTCAACCACATTAATACTAGATTTTGGTGGCTACATCTGACAGGTTCCTAATCTTTAACATGTACATAGCTTGCATGGTCCTCACCATGTGTGGGGTAGCCATACCTTTAATTTCTCTTGTGTAAATGAGGCAGAAGTTCATTTCAGTTTTTTTTTTAATAATTTACCAAAATTTGAAGATTAGTTTATATTCAGGACGGAAAGAACTAGGTTATTTTAAAAAATACTAATGGGAAGGAAAGTGCAACTGTTAGATTCCCTACCTCTAAACCTGCTGAATGTGTTATTTATCACAGATAATACACTTTGATAGATCTGTCCATACCTTAATCTAAAAACAAAATTAATGTGAGTTCCACTGATCTTACATGACACGATCAAGAAAGTATAATTTTATATGACTTTTGTTACGAGATTCAGGTGATATGATAGGAGAAATGGCTCTTACTTAGCTGCACAACAATAAGAGAGCACAGCCACTAAGATCTGGTTATATAACAAGATTTGACAGATCAGAATGATAGGTGAGTTTGTAAAAAGAGAGCAAGAAAGGTGTTGATTAGGAAGAGGACGGTGTGTGGCTGCTTTGCCTGCCAAGCCAAAAAGGATTGGCTACGATGCTTTCAGCTCAGCCTTTACTTAATTATTTACCATGTAAGCACATATTTAATCCCCCCCAAAATAATTTTTAAAACATTAAAACTTGCCTCGTTCAACGAGTATTTTTGTCTTTGACACCAAGGATATCACATCTAATATGTGTAACCAACAGCTACAGTAAATGTCTTTTCTACAGTAAACCACTGTATGCATGTCTAATCAGAAGTTGGTCCTATTAAATTCTGAGGCTTCGTCCCAGAAAACTGGATTTAAGATTGCAGCTTCTGTAGCAATCACAGCCAGGAGCGACTCATCTTTATTCTGCAGGCACCTGAACTACCAAAAATTACTTTAAATAACATTTGATCAGCGGGCTGCTGGGAGATAAAATATAAGCATAAAAGTTCACGGACTGTATCCCAGATCCAATTCCTACTAGCCTCTTTGACTTTCTAAAGTCGTAAATGTAACAGGGCTAGAAGAGATAAGGAACATTTTTCTCTCCATTGCTCTTGTCCAGTTTGAAGGGGCATCTATTACTTTGCTAATTATGCAAAGAGGACTGGTTATGCAACCAACCAGTGTCATGCTTGTCTGTCTAAGGACAGTTTATCCAATAACAGAGTAGATTATAAAGCCGCTCTTTCGGAAAGCAAGAATAAGACTTCCAGGTACTTTCCTAATTCGTAGATATCAATCAAGATTTCTAAAGCCTTTAGAGGTAAGATTGAAATAGCATCTGTTTAGTTGTTCTGATGGAAGACTGGCCAAATAAAAATACACACAAACACACACACTGTAC